TAATAATCAAAACCACATGCATAAATCGCTCAAAATTAAAGGAAATGGCTTGAAACTTCACAGAAATGTAAAGAAAAACACAATACACAGGTAGAGATGTATATTTTTGTTATATTTTAACTAAAAAGTACACAAATGCCTAGCTTGGGCTACCTGTGATCGCCTGGCTATTTTGATGATCAACTCAAACTCTTCAAAGGCGAAAATACATACTTGAATTTTCAAATTTTCTCACAAAGAATAGACAGAAAGGTCACATATATATTTTATTTCATAAATTCGATGGTAGGGTTTTTAGGATTGTCTTTAATATCATTGCATTTCTTCGAAAAGACTTGAAATCTGGTCTTTTTTTCGTCGAATTTGACACTTCAGGTTACGTTTGAGTGATCACGGACTTTTTGTCACCATTAAGTTTGATATGCTTTGATTCATGACAACTTTCTTTAAAACAAAGCCAATCGAGATCTAGAGCTGCTTCTAAACAAGTCTATTTAACGTTTTCGGGCGTTCCCCATAGACAGTCACTTTGTGACGTCATTACAATAACAGAAACAAGGAACATCTTGGGACAAGACTGATCTAATCATTTTATTCGTGAATTCTCGCTTATTGGTATACTACAGCTTTGAAATGCAATATCGATTTTACAACAATATCAGCTAGAAAACGTTGAATACTAAATGCAAGATTGCAATGCATTGTTGCTATCAACAAGGAATTGCGTTCCAGGAATAATATATTCAGTATTTTGAAATAGCTGTTTACCGTCAAACACAAACATATGTAATTGCTAATCACAAATCGTTTAAAGCAATGAAGAGTAATTTTTCGCAGAAACGGTATTTTTGCTTATTTGCGCGATATAATTCAAGATGGCGACAATGTCCTGTTGTTATGATCTGCTATTATAGCTGACGGTCTCCAAGTTAAAGCTGGTGCAATGATGTTCTTCTAGATATTAAAAAGTACAAAAAAATAATGAGAATCAAATACTGAACTGCTTGCAAGATTTTAAAGTAATGACTGATTCTCCTGTTAAGGCAATGAAAAAATGTGAACTGTGAATAAGTAATAAAATCGTGCGTTTATTTCATTGGAATCCTCAGATTTTTTTTAAAAGACATTTCCTGCATCATGATAATTGCTTGCATATTAACAATTTCAAGACGTCCTAGAATTCTCAGCAAACGCTTCGAGTTTAGCAGGATGATGTATATATAAGAGTGTTACTTACGTCTTTTGTAGCACTTCAGCTGTGACGCTAAAAGAACAGCGATCAGCAAAATCCCAACAGCACAACCTAGCACGATAATCGCTACCAAGTATTTATCTGAAAAAGTTAATAACAGTCATAAGTAGAATTTTGATTGGACAAAGTAATTTACTTCTTATCCTTTCGTAACATTTTCATCTTTGATATCTACGACATTTGACAAGCACATTCTGGTTCCAATGCCTTCTGCTCACCACATAAATGTAACAGCCCACATCTTTCAAGCGTAATTTTATAGAATTTTTTGGATGTTCGCTACGCTCACTCGTTCGATATCAATTGAACACTCGAAGATAGAATTGGTATCTCCAAGCGCCCTTGTAATATTCTGATTTCTCAAACTCATTAATAATTCATGACTTGTCTGACCAATCATTTGATCTCTTTAGTGTCACGTGTATGCATTTGGATACCTTGATAC